CACAATGTTGAAACAGAAAAATGAAAGACAGAAAGAAGTAATGAGAAATCCAGGGCTTGAGTAAGATGAACAACGTATGACTGTTGAAGTGAAAAATAGAAGTGTCTGTAATAACATATGTATCTGAAAGAAATAAGGTAAAGTTATTAATAAATTAAAGTGCTAAGCCAGTACTTCCGGTCCTATTCCTAGAGAATTCCAACTGGCAAAGGTTCTGGAAGCGTGGGTGCTCTGGAACACAGGACCTTGATTTGAAATCCTGACTTTCTGGGCACACATTGTAAATTGCTAGTGAGCTCATTTATAACAACAACAACAAAAAAAGTCCCAAATGATTCAAACAAAAAGGACTCTCCCTTTTACTTTTGGCATGCTTCTCACAAAAAACCCCCCAAAAAAACCCGAAACAAAAAACCCCCAAACATTTGAATGCCATTTAATTCTATTCTAAAGCATGGTACAGAAGCCTATGAAAGTACAATTTCCTTCTATTTGGGATGTATGATGTTATTTTCTATATTTTTTAAAAATAGTGCAAAGTGTTCCTTCCCCCCCCCCCCCCCCCCCCAACAAGAAACTAATTCTCCAGCTCAAAGAAATATTTAGAGATCAGCCCTTTACAGCTGAGGAAGTAGATGGTAAGATCCAAAGCAAGCAATTCAGATTTTGGAAGCATTTTATGAACTATGTTCTGAACCACTTATGTAGTCTAGCTGAATTTTTTATGCCGTGCTTTTTAAATAAACAAAATGAGAGCAGCAGAATTCATGTATGTTTAACATTTATGAAAATAAAATAATAAGATAAAAAATATGACATAGTAATGTAAATGTTTACCATTTAACACAGAATTATGAAGTAAGAATTCCAGACAGCTATAGCTTTATTCACAGGACTGATAAATTGTATTGTATTATAACTTAGCATTCACAAGAAAAGTCAAGAGCATTTGTTTTCCATTTTGTTTTAAACTTAATGAATGACAATGTGACATTGTAGTGGTTATGAGGAAAGCCTATTTGACAGATGGTTTTTTCCTTCCATGAAATGAATGATAAAAAAAAAAAAAATCCCTGAAGACGCTTCTTTGATTTAAGTGAGAAAAAAACAATGAAGAATGAACTACAGCTTATTGACATACTAACTTAAAATATCTAGCAATTTTAACTGCATTGAGTAGCCCACTGATTTCATTTGGAATGCCCTGAAAGTAAACAAGTGGAATGAAGCTCATTATTGTAAGAAACATTTGGCATTTCTTGACTTATTAAGTCAGGAAACATACAAAATATCAATTTAACATAATATTAATACTTATTTCCAGGGCAACCACTAACACTTATTTCTCGCAACTTATGTAGAGAGCAAAAATCCTATGCATTACCATAACCATTTTATTAGACTAAAAAAAAATTATTGGATCTACACATATACCACTAGACTCAGTTTCATTTTGGCATCCATCTTCTACTGAAAAGTGCCTGAGATAAAGACTTGTGCAAAGGCAACAAAATAAATATGTACTTAGTGCATAGAGTCTTTCCATTGATATCTGTGTTCAGAATCAAAGAATAAATAAAAAAAAAGGCACAAAATGTTTTCAGAAGATTAATTTTGCTCTGACCTCCCTTGAAATATGTATGATGGATCAGAATAAGAATTAAAACACAGCCATTTTTGATGAGACTGTATTTAGTAACAATTCTCCTTACTAGTTAATAACCTTATTTGTAATAAAACAAATCACAGTAGGACTTTTGTTAAAGTTTAAGAATTTTGAAAAGAACTATGTAAACTTGGATTATTTATATATATATATACACACACATATACATGTCGAGATACAGTTTATTTAAGTTTAAACAGAAGATATCCTAACTAAGTAGAAATGTCTAAATACATATTTGAAATCCATAATGACCCTAATTATAATTTCCTCTCTGGGCATATTAAAAAAGCATCAATTAAAAAAAAAAAAAAAGATTATTCCATCTGGAATCCCCTACAGTACCACTCCCCTAAGGACCATTCTTGGGTAGTGACTCCAAATAAAGTGCAACACAGTATTTTGCATTATCACTTATACCATGTTTCTTTTCCTGTTCTGTCTGTCATAAAAATCTGATCCATATGTCTCCTGATAAGTAATATTATTTAGGTTTCATTATAGATGCAAAATGAGATGCAAACTGCAACATAGACTTTTTCCAGTAACAGTAAATCATGATTTTATCAGCCCTCATCCAGGTCAATACTTCTGTTTGGACTACTCACTTGCATATTTATTCTTTAATGTGAACAAACTCTCCAAATAATGAGTAGCTCCAAAGTCAGATGCCCAGTCTCAATAAACAGAATTGTCATAAAGATTTCCTGTGTTATGCATTGATAGACTCTAACTGGAGACAGAATACTTAGATGCTATCTGTTGATTTTCATAAATGCTCAGGATATTTACGGACAGGAGGCTCAGACAGATGGAAACCAGCATGGTCACATTATCGTCATACGAAAGCGAGCACAAAATGTATACGTGTTCAAAACCACAGAAAGATATTTTCATTGAAGTAATGGCTTTTTATACTGTCATTTAATTATACTTTCATTTGGGTGTTTAGTCGACATCAGTTATTTACCTGTGAACACTCTGCTTGCAAAAACACGTACAAATGCAAAACTCATAAAACCTGACGTTTGATATTTTCCCCCACTTGAACTGTTTAAGTTTAAAAAAAGATTGACTTATCTTTCAACATTCCATTCAACTATAGCATATAGTACTAATAAGCCAGTCTGACTCATGTATATATCCAGTAGTATCTTCTGCTCTCTACTTGAAACTATGCTATCCATAAAAAATCTGTATATCCAATTCTTTTTTCGATTTTAAGTCTATATTAAAAATAATGATCTTTGAACGAAGCCATTATATGGCATTTATGACTGATGAGGTTAATTGCTTGAGGTTCTTCTTGTTTATTATTGATCCTCAGGAAAAGTATTGTATCTCAGTCAGCAGTACTTAAGTTTTGTTCTGTATTTTAATTGCAGAGCATTTGTTCCAAGAAAGAACTTATTTCTGTGCTACATGAGCCTTAGTAAACATAAATAAATGATAAATTAAAAAAACCTACAATTCTGTATTGCCCTAATATACCTGAGGTCCTTCTGTGTCTTATTACACATAGAAATTCACTAAAGTCTCCTCCCTGCTTCTTTCTGGAGGAATGGGATGCAAAATTCCTTGCTATGATCTTAGAAGCAACCTTTTCTGACAATGATGTAACACACTATATATTGTGCTATATAGAGAAAAAAGAAAAACATACAACTGATACTTTTTAGTCACACAATTCTGAAACAAGACTTCCCAGATGTACGCTATAGTGCAACTGTATGCAGATGGTACATTCCTAGTTTTCCTTTGCATATTTATATCAAAAACTTTCATCAACTGTGAACCCATTCCCATTTATAAGACCGGTAGGAAAGTCAGGTAGGAAATCTTAGGAAGTAAGATTCATGGGTATGGCCTAAAAAACCCAAATGATTTCCAAAAACCCAGTTTCCCTATACAAACTAAACAGCAAACAAGACCACAGCGGAAAATTCATGTGACAGATTTTTACAATAATGTTAGGAAAGTACATCTTTAAATGAACATATAGATTATTTAAGTATATCTGAATAAAGTCACTCATCTTCTGAAGGACTAGTTCTGTCAGGTTAAAAAGAAACTAGCTAATAAGGGCATTTAATTCTGCATGTAAAGAAAAAGAAAGATACTTCTCTTTTCTTGTTGTTTCTTTAATTTTCTTTCTATGGCTTGATTTTGTCACATCCAAGTGCTACCTTGTAATGTTCTTGGTGCATTTGACTCCCATACTTTTGGCCAGAAGGCTAAATAAATATTAACCCAGTAGGAACTGAAGGGACATTTCCGGTTAGAAGATTATACTGGTAACTGCCTATGTTGAAAATGACTCAGATTAATGGTGTAAAAGAAATATATACATAATGTTATAGCATTATCTAGCTCCTCATCCTTGATACGGATCATCCTTTAGATTCTGAATTAAAACAAAACAAAACAATCAAAACCAAGAATTATGAATGACAACAATCTACAGGAGAAACTCAAGGTTCAAGGTAGCAGCTTGTCCTCATGTCTCCAGAATCTCCTGGATGTCAGGAGAAATTGTGAGCACTGGTAGTTTTCTTCTGAACCAGTTCCAATAGAAATTAAAATAAGACTAAAAATCCTCACAGCTTCAATTTAGTTACCATTAATATACTAACCAAACAAAATCTCTAGGCAGTTATTACTTTCTTTATACAGATGAGGCACAGTGATTAAATAGGTCCATCCTACAGAATCAATTAATTTTTCAAAACTGGGAATTGAATTTAGTTATTGTGAACATTTAGACCTAAGTAGATATTTCTACATTATACATAGAAAGTTCTTACATGCTGTACTGATCTGTAACAAAAAGCTGTAAGATGTTACAACACTTAAGTGAATTAATCATGCATTTTCAATAGCATGCTCAGTAAAAAATTTGAATATTTGGCTTTTAAGACATTGATTAATTGTGTATCAGAAATGCAAGATTTCTCTTGGCCTATGTCAAACTAACACTGCAGCAGGACACTTCTCAGCAGAAAGAATATTTCTTGAATTCTGCTCAGATCATATATCCAGTTTTGAGAGAGACTGTTTTTTTATTCTGCACTATTATACAACACTTCTTTTGGCCTGGCATCTGACAGGCATTCCCATCCTTTGCGTTTACTTTACTTCACTTCCTCAAAGCTGAGGCTGCAAAAACACAGCCAGCAGCCTCATACAGCTTTTCATGGAAAACTGCCATTCTAACCTGGCACCTAACTTCACTTTATTATTCACTCAGAGAAGTTTAAAACCCTGAGATGAATTTAAATATTTATGCCAACAAAGAAAATGATGAAAAGAAAATGAAAACAATGTAAGCCATTACTGAAGCAGCTCTTCTTGTGAAAGCTCTGATGTTCTTTGCTTGCCAGTCACCAGCGCCAGCTCATCCTTCAACTCCTGGATCTCCTTTTTCAGCTGGACAATCATCTGCAAACAGCAAGGCATAAACCAAGCATCACCTACAAATTAATAGCTAGTTTATGATTTTTGCATTAGAAGGCTGAGTTTAGGGAAATAATATACTTTCGTTTTCTCTTTTTTAAACATCTCTTTTTAAAAACAGTCCAAATGCCTTAAATACAGCAAGCACTTTTCTTCCTTTTCCATTTATAAAAACAAGAAAAGTCTTCCAAACTCAGTAAATTCTGTGTGTTAGAAGACATGGCTGTACAGAAAGAGTTCAAAAGATTATTTGCAAAACAGAAAAATAATTTGCCATAGGAATAAAAAGAGCTTTCTGACTCATTAGTTTTGCCCATTAGTAATGAAAACACATTTAAAATAGAACTGATGTCTTTGTTAAAGAAAGGACAACTAAACACCAAAAGTGATTTTTTTTCACCTTCCCTTTAGAAACAGAAATTCCAAACACTATCTTACTATTTTAATCTTAACTTTTCTTTTTTTCATGTAAAATTCCACTTTTATTAAAATTATAGCATACTATAATTGTTGGGTTTGTTGTTGCTAACAACAAATGAATAGTACAAATCAGCATAATGAAATTAAATTCCATTAATGAATAGTAACGACTGAGAAAGTGACTTCGAGAGCTGTACTAGATTTTTAAATTGCAATAGCTCATTATTGGAGCCTGTACTTTTGGAAAAAACATCTGTATAAAAACATATTTCACAAATCATTAGCCTCCCAAGGCCAAATTCTACAAAGCAGGGACAATATGCAAATCCCCAAGCCTAAAACATGAATGAGCAAGTTCTTGGATACTTTATGATTGATCATTTTAATGATGCATCGCCTTATAATGGCTCAAATGTATCAGGAGTCCAATGATATTTTTAGATGGATATGAGTACACTGATTCCATGTGCAAAATAAGTTTCCAAGAGAAGTATGTTTTCAAGGAAAAATGAATCATTCTTGATTGCATGCACTTTCTAGAAATAAGATTGTTGAAATTGATGACACATTTTCACTGGATGTTAAAATTCCTTCAAATATTTGTATTTTTTTAATGTTTAAATTTAACATTGACTTCTAAACTTTGAATGGGTATTTTTACTTCAAAAAATAAAAATATTCTAAACATACATATGATTATTTCTTTTAACTCTAAACTTACCAGTAACACATTTGTTACTATAAAGTATGAAAGGCTAACTTACAATATTTTATTTAGGAATATATTAAGGTGGTGAACTGTCAATTACAGATGTTGCAAGAGTGCTTCAAGAATATTGCAGGTCAAACTTTTAAACCTGATTTTAGGCTGCCTCACTCTGGTGCCACACACTGATGTAGCCAGTGCCAATTACTGAGTCAATAAATTAAAATTTAGGGCTGGAGTATAAAAAGGCAGAAAGTTGAACTGATAGTACCATCCCTGTTCAGCATTCAAATTTGTTAGCATGATTAACCTCAATCTGCCAACAACAGAAATACCTTTTTCTGGTATTTCTTACATATATATATTTCTTATGGATAAAAGACTGATTTTCAAGTATTATTAAGACAAACAAAAATCTACAGAAGGACAATATTTTCATTTTTATTTTTAAATGAATGCCAGAGGGGATTAGATTTAATTCAGGCTCAACAGTTTCATTTTCAGTTTAAACCAAATCCTTTGGTCATGAGTGAGAGAGGTTCAAAGCTGAGTTGCTTAAAAAGTACAATGGGTACAAGTTCATCTTCTTAGTAAGATACACAGTCAGGAAGTCTCCATTATGAAGAATAAAGTTTACACAAGTCAGACTTAACTCAGATCTATCTGCACTCCCACTATAAAGCATGCGTTCAACTTACAGATGATAAATACTGCAAATAAATGGCATTTGTTTTAATAAAAAAAATCCTAAGTCCAGCACTTTACTGAATAATCAGGTTGCACCCTGGGAATATACTTCATAGTTAAGATGGACAACAAATTCCACAACGAGCACAGAGCCATATGAAGCCCAGGTACCTGTGTTCCCCTGCCTTTTCCACAAGAGGGGATGGTTTTCTAACTCTCACGAGTCCTCTTTTGCTTTACTTGCTAAATGATCCTGCAGAGCAAGACATACCAAACTCATGGAGTATAGCTCCACAGGATGTAGTAAATGTTCAGGAGCCTGCATGTGTTCCACCTCAATCAAAGGCTTCTGTGGTCATGGAAGAAATGTTTTGCATAATTTGGTACTATAAAGCCTACACAGGAAAGAAAAAAAAGGACAGACAGACAGAAATGAAGAAGTTGTTCAGTGCCTACTGGGGTTTTTTGTTTGTTTATATTTTGGCCGCTCTTTTTTTTTTTTTTGTGATGTTGTTACTGTTAGAAATTGTTTGGAAAGAAAAAAAAAAATAAAAAAAGAAAAACAGCAGAAAACTTGACAAGAATCTCCTATTCCCTTTGAACTTCAAGGACAAGAGAAAATAAAAGCACAATCATTAACATTAACTGAAATATGTTAACTACCATCAAGTAACAATGAATGAAACCAAACATCTAATCCCCCAATTTTTAGACAACAAATCCTTCTTATGTTATATAATATAGCATTCTGCAGTCGACCATTCAAGAGGAAAGCATTTCCTAGCCAGTTCAGAAGGTCATATGAGAACAAAATACATAAAATTTGTAATTACAAATTAGTCATGAGAAATTTAGAAATACAGTAATAATTTTGCCCATTAAAAAGAATGATGATGCGATTAGTATATCATAAAAACATACAGGACCACTGAAATTAGAATATTACATTCAGATTTTATATTCTTTAGAGGTGAAAAGCTACAGTTCAAATTTATAATTCTAAAAACTATGTTGCTAAAAACTATGTTTTAAATATTGTCTGTTTGTATATAAACAGAATAATATAATAGCTTAACCTGAACTTATTTTTCATCTGATGTCTCTGTCGCAGAGACAGAGGGTATGCTGAAATGCAGCTATAGTTCTTCCTTCATTATATCCATATATGCAGCTTTGGCATGAGCAGTGTAACCTCAGTCAAACATTTCCTATATCAGAAAACATCTTTGATACACAGCGTGCAACCCAGGTGATCTAGGGGCTATTATTATCTGCAATACTATGCTGAATTAATCAATCCTTAATAGGTGTACTGAATATTTACAAAGGAAATAAATTTTGCAGGTAGTGCAGAAAATTACATTAAATAAACTAACAAAGGCCTCTTAATATAGTAGAACATATATTAAAGAGCACATCTTTCAAACAAGTCTGGTATGTAACAAGCTAGAGACACATAAAATCTTTCAAAGGAAAGACTAACCACATACTAAAAAGAAAAAATAAAGTATATTTTTGTTACACACATTAAAAGAAGAAAGTTGTTTTCTTTATGTGGCAATGCTTTGTGCTTTACCAATGTGGACTATTACCTCTATCCTTCTCTGTACCTCCTAAATCCCCGATCCATTCTGCAGAGCTCCTCTGCTGCTCTTTGGGATGTGAACATCAGCCTAATGCTTTAGTGTGGAAATCCTATTTCCACATGTCATTTACCTATCTTCCTTTTTTCCTAATGATAACTTTACAGAGTTCTTTCTTCCTAGCTAAAATGTTCCTTGGACCGATCTCAAGGAAAGACTGTATCTGTATGTTTCTTAGCTTTTTAATACACGAACTGTTTCAGTGCAGCAGCATGCCTTCATCAAGTGACTAGTAATCTTAGTAGATTTTTTAAGAGTTTTAGGGACATCGAATTATCTGTGGCTGATTTAGAAACAAACACCCTAAAAGAAGCAATGCAAAGTGACCACTGCTCCTCAGATGCTTTAAGAGCTGAGAAAGCCTTTAGGGGGTTTATAAAGGTCCGTTTAATATAATTATGTCCAAAAGAAAAAAATAAAAATAGTAGTTATTTTATAGAAAAAAATGGAACTTGCATCTAAAAACAATGGGATGATTCAGTATAAAATCCTCAACATTCATCTGACTGCTATTGATTATTAAAACTTAAAACAAGCAATCTCCTTCCCTCTGCCCCCAGTCAACTCTCACCAATCTGGGGTCAATTTCTTCATTAAGAATTGCTTCATTCTTAATAAGAGCAACTCGCTGTGCAAATCTGCAGGTTGATATAGATTCCTGGAAGAAAAAAAAAAAGAGAGAAAAAAGAAAAATTTCAGTTAGCTTTGCACCAGGTAAGTAGAACAGACTGCTAATGAAGTCATCAAATTAAGTTTCTGGGTTTTGTGTATTTTACAGAACTAATCTACCATTTCATATTCCGGAACAACAATATTCAAGGGAAATTAGGTTAGCATATTAATGGCAGTTATATATAAAACTGTCAAATCATAGTACATATTTTATTGACCTAGTCAATTGCCTGATCAACTGTGTTTCAAATGAGTCCCTAGCTGGCACTAAAGGATAAGAAAGCAGTACTATTCAGAAGGTAATAACTTTTGAATTATGAGAAAATGAGAAAATGAACTAAGCCCAATTTTTTTGGTGAAAATGGGACTAGAGAAGCATATGTAAAAGAAGCTGGGAAAAGAGATGAAGGGAAGAAGAGTGAAAGTCCAGGACAAATGAGAAACAAGCTGGGAGACTTGGAACTAGGAGGCATCCAGGAGAACTATGATACCAGATAAAAAACTGTCTGATGAGCTAAGATGAGGTGAGGCAGACGGAAAGGTAGGGAGAAAAAAAAAAAGAAGATACAAGACTGAGGTTGTGGAGGAAACTCTGTGACAATCAGTGCGTACTCCCACCTAGGGCACAGAATGGAATCGAGGATCCCTAAGTATTTTTCTGTCCTTTGAGATCAGCCGATACTTACAGGCCAGACCCTGCTAGAGAACTTATCTACCTAATGAATAAAAAGCCAGCAATTGTTCTCAGTTATCTCAAAGAATAAAACATCATACAGTAGTCTTAGAAATTCCAATTATGCTTGATAAACTGTATGATAAAATTTTCTGAGATGTGGCAGTCTGCATTTAAAATATAAGAATTTACACATAATCTCTACATTAAGAGAACTTTACTACTGAGTTTTATTTCAGAATCAAAGTAATTCTGCAGTTTTCAGTCCTCCAACATATGAAAATACCTATTTAAATACATGATCACATACTCCTTTTTCCACAGGACTTCTGTCTCTTTCAGTGCTTGGAGGGTTGGTATCTGAATGAAATCTGAATCTGATGAAAGATACTCGTGTTTACTGCCAAAGACGTAATATATATACACAGAGTCAAAGAAGAGTTTTCAAGGAAAGGAAAGGAAGGCCTTACAATTAAGAAAGCTGCACATAGTCTTAGCTGGACTCTGCTTGCCTCTGCTGTATGGTTCCTGTGCTATGATGATCAGCTAATGTGATTTTAATTAAGTTCAATACATATATTAAGTACAATTATATGTACAGTACACATATATACAATTTCTACCAGACCTCTTTGCCCTGTTCAGTATGAAGCATATGTTAAATTAATGAGTAGCTAATCAATTCAGTCTTCAATGTTCAATATGTAAGCTTATGATCTATTTATTCTATGCCACCAAAATGGTAATCAAAGCTGACAGCTACTAATTTCCTAATAATTTTTTCTGCCATGCTTACTGTTACAGTACCTGAGGACTTCACAAAAATTAATCAATTAACCCTCTAGGTATTTCTTTGCTGCAAGTAGGTGGAATGACTACACTTAACAGAAGGGAAACTGAAGCCAAATGTACCAAAAAACGGTATTTGATTATTATATGATCTTTTGTTCAAAACAGCTTCCATTCAACTTCAATTACAGCTGTAATAATTAATATATCTACAATTCAGAATCAACATCTTCTTTCAAGCACTCCACAAAACTAGCACAAAAAATATGATGTAGGTGATGTGAGAAGTTGTATACAAACTCTTCAGTAGAAGCAGGAATATAATCTAGTTCTCTAGGATAATATTCTATTTGTCCTCTTCATGAGAGTTCCCTTTCTTACTTTGAATTCTCTGCTTTGTTGCTTTCATTGCAAGAGACAAAGTGAGGTCCTTAAGAAAGTTGCTTTTATTATTCAACTTCATTTCATACTGGGGGGCAATTCTGTCTTGTGTTTCCTTTGTGAATGAAATGTATATCCAATGGAAAAAAACAAACAAAAAAGCAAACCAAACATAATTATGCATAATGACTCACAGAATTCCAAACTAAAATTATGCAGCTATCTTAATTCTGACACTTTCTAATGTTTAGTAATTGACTTAACATCTGTCCTAATATTACTCACATATATCAGATTTTGGGGAGCAGGGTAGGGACTTTTTTATTTATTTTTGGAGAAGAAGGTCTGTTGTGTAGATGGTATATGTTAAAGTAAGAACAAGAAAACTCTCAGTAGCCTACTCTGGATAATTGCTTGGGCTAAATATTCCCAAAATAGAAGCCTAGATCGTAATGTGAGATACATATACCTGATGAACTGATATACGAATGGGTGCTTACCCCACACACCTAAAAAAAAAAAATTCATTAACAAACTTATCCAGTTGCACTTGTAACCAGACATCATGCTTGCATAAGCATTACAAGTCTGAACAATCTGTTTTCATTTAAAAGCAAAGTCCATCTTCTAAAGAAAAAGAAGTGTTCAACTAGATGAAGTATGGTTTTAGTATAATGCTTTCCACTGTATTTCAGAAAACAGTCCTAGGCTTAATAGTTTTTTTTCTTATATATTCGCATTAAAACACTTTGATGTTATGGAAAATCAGGGAATAAATAGATTACAAATGGCTTTGAGCAGGGTTCTATGTATTCACATCGCAACATATTTTGGTAAACAAAGAGAAGAAAACATCACTACATATAATTCCACTGCAGGAAATTGGTGAAAGGAGACAAAAGTATTCAAAAAATTTCCCAAAATCCCAAATAACCCCACCCAGTTCTCTCTCCCTCCCAATAAACCCTCCAGTTGTCTACAATACTCAATGAAATTTCAACTCCAAAGAAGTCTACAGAAGTTCTGCCAAGGCTTTCAGTGTGATCCATAATCTACTTAGAGATCTTACCAATATGTCCTGTGGAAAATTCCTTGGAAATGCCTTTCCATAACTTAAAAATTTATTCATCATGAAAACGATAATTTTAAAAAAAAAAAAAAAAAAGGTTCATTACTAGGTGCAAGGTGTTTCCCAACTGCTCCTTGACTTAAGATTACTTAGAGAAAAGCATGTTTCCTAAAGGATTTGTCTACATCTTACTGCAATTTCCATTGATAAAATTATCTCCTGGAAACAAAGCTAAAATGTTTTTTTTGTAAGGACAGGAATAAAAGCATACACACTTGAATTGCAAACCGTAATAAAAGTCAAAAGAGCAGGATCTTTAGAGAAGTGAAAACATTTTTGTTGAAAATAGATGGAAATAACATACATCTATATTTCTCTTGTCTATAGAGAGCGTTGCTATCATGGTAGTCATGCAGTTTCCTCCCAGGCTGTCTCTTAGCACTGAGGTCATCATAGAATTTCGGTAAGGAATGTGGGACCGGTTTTTCTCTGCAAGGGCAATTATTACCTGAAACAATAGTAAAAATGGAAGAGACTTTTAAATTTACATGTCTATTAACGATTGACACAGAAAGAGAACAAAACTAATCTGCTCAGGAACCTAAACTTCTGATACAACAAAACTACGCTCATGCACCCAGTTAGCTGCAAACCCACTGATTTTATTGAAATAATTTTAACTTAAATTTCAGCATGTTTATGTGTCTTTGTAGGAGCTGGACCTGAAAGACCAAATAAATTTAATTTTATCATACCTTAGCTTTACAGCCTCTCAGCAACATGGAATCTGAACACAATGAACAAAAAACCACAGACTTTCCTAAGACACAGAAACTTACTGAAAACCTTCCTCGTATTTTTTTTATCATCATAATAATAAAGTATGGATAGCATTCAAGTAAAAAATTCTTTAATATTTGCTAAAGCATGCTTTTAAAGCACATGGTTCTTAGAGGGGTCAATACATTTCTTTCTGAGAAAATGCCTTGAAAAGTAAAACACAAATAAAAGGGTGCATGATTACAATGTACTGCTGGAAAGAAATAATTCAGTTTAGAATATATATGCCTTGGCCAAAAAGGAAATGGTACACCTACTATTCTCAGTTTCTCTTCTCAGCTGTTTACATTATGGGACCTAATTATTATTAAATAAAAAGCTAGATTACCATGATCTGTTGTGATATAAAAGATTTGAACTGTGAACTGGCCAGGCACTGTACTGAAAAACTGTAGCTATATGAGTTGTGCAAGCTACCCTAAATGATTAGGATTTGTTTTTCCTTCAATAAACGTTGCACGCTAGCATATATTTTGTTTATGCTGCACTTAAAAAAATTGTTATTTTAGAAAATTTAGTAACAACTTTTTTGTTGGCACTAGTTTCTCCTAATGGTCTTCAGAAAGTTAAAATTTCTTATTACTGTAAATCTTACACTGGCAGCCCTGAGAGGGACGAATGCATAATATGAAAATTACTATCTTTAAAGGAATCTGGAAACCCATTCCTAGATCAAGGTTTTCAAATCTCATATATTACAACTTGTTAGGTGGAAATATGTTATATCTTAGTTAGTTTATAATATTACATAGAAACCTCATAGTAGTCTAGCGTATACATTAATAAGCACACTCTCAGTTTCTGCCACACAGAGACTACAATCTAAATAGACAAGATGGGAAAAGAGCTAGAGGGAAGATATGTTATTTCCATAGAAATGGGAACTGTGTTACAGAGAAGTTCATCTTTTCTGAAGTTCATGCAGGAAGTCTGTAGCCCAGGTAGAATCTGAACCCTCCCGCACTGGCACTGAAAAGCGATGTGACCAGCTCTCACAATGCAGAAGCCACTGTACTGTCATGTGACAGAGTCACATAACACAGCAGATGAGGGCTTTAAGTCCCTCTGGAAAACCTCACCTAAATCACTAAATCAATCTTCACAATCCAATCAAAGAATCTGGAATAGAAAGAGGAGAAATCTGAAGGAGAGAGAAATGATGTTCTTCCACAAAGTGAGAGAGACCACCTGTACAGGATCTGAACCTGGATCTTCTAATAGCCAACAAATTTGATAATCAGAAAATTGTTTCATTTTTACATGGCCAAAAAGAAGGTGTTGTTATCTTTGTGATATAAAAAAAGATTTGGGGTTTGTTTTTTTTTTTTTTTAAATACTGGTAGGTCTAAGTTTAAAAGGCCTTAATATTACTGAACCAGGACTGTAATATGCCGATTTAAATCAACATAATTTAAGGCAGAAAAGGTCAAACAAACCACTTTAAGACCTAATTAATTTTTTAAATGTGGAAGCTGTCAGAAATATTGTCACTTTTTACAAAATTGCATCCTATATGAAACATAACAGGATAGATCAGGTACAATCACTCACAAATAACTTCACTGAAACATTTGGAAATATTGTTAAGCATAAAGGAAGGCCTGAGACTCACAAGTGGTTATGATATGATCTGAAGCGTGCCCAAGAGTCCCTGTTCCTGTCCACAACCTTTGTGCAAGCAGTAACTTCATATAGGGAACAGATTTGCACCAGTACCTCATGCCAACAGGCAGCCAGGACATGTTCTCAGAGCATCCTCAGGAGATGAGGATTTTGGGGTGCATCACTTGCAGGTACATAGCTATCAGCTGCATCTCTATCTTGCAGTTTAGTGTATCACATGCTCTGAAGCAATATGCCTGCTCCAGAGGCCTCCTTTTTTTCTCCTGTCCATCTGCAGTCACAAGACTTCTGACATTGCCTTTGATCCATATCCAGAATCCTTCCAGATTCCTGCCTACACCTCCCCACTCTTCAGATTTCTGTCAATTAAGTCTCCCATCCTACCTCCTATTTCTAGTAGAATTTATCAGCTTAAGCTCTGGTCCTTAGAGCAAAAAATCCAAACTCTACTGCTGGTGTCTTGTAGTTAATTACAAGCATTCTCACTTTTTGGACAACATATGCTTGTCTCCAGTATATACTACAGGTCTTGCTAGAAATGATTCACCCAAAAAGTCATGGTTTGCTAATCAGAAACAAATGCTTGTATTTCACTTTAAATTATTAAAAAGTTCCTGTTTTTTCTGTTATTCTCATGTCTTTATATATTAATTAGGAAAGAACAAAACCAGAAAATTACCTTTTCTCTAGGATGTGAGTAAATCTAGCATTTGATGGCTGGCAGTGATTTCAAATTTTATTAGCAAAAACTTTGGTAGGTGTGGGTAGCAATCATTCACTAACCAATAAAATCTTTTGGCATTCCCTAAATGGAGCATGTGTTAAATGACAGTTAACAGCCATATTGACCAAAGCAATGGGAATATTGTATTCTATTATTTTGGGGAAATACATATACTTATAATTCCACTATAGTGTCAAATCATGCGGCTGTATCAGTGTTAATTTGTAACTCTAAATTTGGTCCAGGATACCCTATGTTGTGTATCAGAAGGGAATATCTACACACACACAAAAAATGCAATTGTAATTCCAGAACATGCTACTACATTTTACCACTTGGAGAAAAAGTGCCATTGATTTATTTGAAGATTTTTTTAACACATTGTAGATATTTAACGAGTAGACCAAATGTGGTAATACAGAACTGTGTTCTCATTGTCATCTTGACACAAATCATTTTACATGACTACTTTATTATGCAAGGTATTTAGAAATGGCATAACTCAACGCTAAAACACCAGTAGATAACTAAACAATTGAGCATGTAAATAAGATGATTTTGAGGAATCCTTGTACTTTAATATTAATCACTGCAAGGTCAGGATTGAATGCCCCAATTCCCACTGAACAAAAGATATTTTTTACTGTCTTCAGTGGTCTTTTATTCAGTATTAAAAAACATTTTTATTAATGATATGCAATCCCAGACAGAACCCAACACGCGTATCTCCAATTGTATTAGTTCTAAAATAGGAGTTAAAAGCTGCATGACAAAACATTAATATTTTATGCTTCTACAGCACTTCAAACCTGAGCGTCTCAAAACACACTACAAGTTATTAAATTCAACCTCACAGAAGCTCATGCAATGTTGCATTACAAATACATAAAAATCATACAGTAAATAAGAAGGATCCTGAATACAATTTGTATCATTCTGAAGAGGCCTTTTTTAGAATCACTTACCCTTATCACTTCCCATAACTACAGCTGAAATACAGACATTCTTCTTCAAGGTAAAATTTAAATAAATGGGGGGTATGAAAAAAATTCAGTGTAATAGTAAATGACTGACTGCCACCTGCTGTGCCTTAAGCTCCTTCTTTTGAGAGATGAATTATCTCTGATCTTAGATTAAATGAAATCTAAGAGATTTGTTCTTGTTAACAGAAAAACACACAACACAAAAATAAAAAATATTCTTCCAAGTGGAACAATCAGTTATATTTCCTAATCATAACTTTAAAGAATTTTCAGATACAGACACACACAAAATTTTCTGTTTTAATGGATTTCCTCAACTGAGAATTTTACTAAATAACACATATACTGGAGTATAAATTAAAAGGGACAAATCTGAATTTTAGAGTTAAACTTTTTTTCTTTCCCCCCCCATTATTTCTCCCACTAAATGACAGCCTCACAGACCTGCTAATATTGTATATAAAAATTTTAAAAGAAGCTGTAGGAAAAAATACAGTATCCTCCAGCAGAATTCCAAAAAATAACAAATTTCTGACAACATGAACAGTGTTTACTGTAATGTGAAAACAATATTATGTATTCAATCTTAGAAAGAACTTAATTTCTCTTACAGGTGTGAGGTCTGAAATGCACACTTGAAAATCTTAAATGATTGCAACTTAATAGCACAGCATCCACAAAATAGATTTCATTGATTGCCAAGTATTTCTTACCCTTGCTTGGTGTTTTACAGCATTAGAATACAAAACATCACAGCAGATCAGGGAGACAAAAATGTAATGAGCACTAAGTTTTTATAAATAAGCATAAATGTCTTTTAGCAATGCCACAAATACTAAGCTGAAAAGAAATACCTGAAAGGAAGGAATGCTATGGAATACAGACAATGCCTACAAACATGGCGGAAAGAAAAGAAGAGATACTAGAAAAGAAGATATTAGTGAGTGTGAACAGCCTTTGCCATCACACTTATCACATTCACAAAAAATACGAGGATCCTAAGATGCAACATCTTATTTTTCTAGTCGTGAAGGGAAAATGATTATATCAGATCAGTGGAGGAAAAATAATTAAAAAACCCCAATAATAATAATAATTATTACTATTAACAATAATAGTTACTATTGTTAATATTGGTTAACAGTTATAATCTGTTAACCAAACCTTTCTATTAGAATGCTTCATCTTCAAAGTTTCCATTTACCACCTCTATCTTAACTCATTCTTCGTCTCTTTTTAAAAAAAAAAGTAGTAAGATTAGTCACGATTAATTTACTTTCTCAATATTTGCCTTTTCCAAATGGGAAAATTAAAAAGCAACAGTGAAAGAAGGATAGTGATTTTAGTATACCTTAAATAAAACCCAATCATTTTAGTTCAATGATTCTTCAGTGGTACATCCTGATCCCAGGTATGGAAGGGGGAAAAGATCACAAAGAATATTTTTAGCAGAAATATAGCTGCAATCTTGTAAATATCTTTAGTATTCCAAATAAAACAAGAAAACTATTTTTGAAATACTACCCTGTATACCTACTATAACCTTACTGTTTAACTGTTAAGCTTTTCCTAAATTAAAATGTTATTTCAAATAAAGAGCTATCAACCCAAACATTTTAAAAACCTGCAATAAATATCCTAAGACTAACTGAATATTGGAATCAAGATTTCCAAAACATTGCACACTGCTAAACAGGAATGTAGCAAAGGGAGAAATGTTTCACTCTATTCCAATTTTACCTGTTCCAGATAATGTAACGACAGGTTGATATATTTGGCTTCTGTCAATAAATGACCTCCAACTCCAGTCTTTGCAACACGCTCCGATCCAGCAAGATCTACTAAGTGTAACTTGGAGCGTCGGATAATTGCAGATCCAGGTTCCTTGCTGGAGAGGTGAATAGTGAAAATGCAGTGAGATCGGGTTGAGGCTTGATTCATTGGTGTCTACAATGAAAAGAAAGGAAGAGTCCTCAATGCTCATTTAATAAATAAATTTAGCTTTTTATAGCTCAATAATCTGGCAATTGAAAACACCTATCCAATTTTTTATTGCACCTGTAATAAATATGCAAGAAGAACCCAAAAGGATTTACCTGGCACTCCCATTCTGGCCAAATACTTGGATAACTTTGGTCTGGACAAATTGTACTGCAAGCAAGCAAGCACCTATCCTTGCTCCAAGATATTTTAACAGTGAGTACATCAGCAAAGCAGCTGGCCTTACTATGCTGAGGAATACTAAGGAATACTAGAAGAGGGCATGTTGATCGGAGGGAAAGTTACTAATTCCTGATCTCCAAGAGATTATTCATTTCACCATTGGTAAGCCCTTTTAAAATTTTTTTTGGCTAGATAGCTACTAGTGTAACTAAGACTAGGACTTTCTATAAGGCTTTGGACTTTCACATTTTCATTACCTTTATGAAACAAATTAACTTGGCAAAATCAGTATCACAATTTTATGTGGCATGACAGAGTTTTCATAAAAGGTTTGGCTTTAAATATATTTATTTGGAAGAGCTACTGCTGTACTTCCTTAACTAGACACATAGAAATTCTTGGTCAGCTTTAATATGACTTTAGAGGTGTTCCCAATATATTTGAAATGCAGAACAGAAAATTTTAAACAGCCCCCAGATATTTAATTTTAGATTTCAAGTGACCCTATGCCATCACACATGCACCTTTCTTTTCCTAAACAAAATATTAAAAAGTCTTTAAGCATCTAAAGCCTCTTCCATTTAGTTATACCAAGCCGTTGTTGGAAACTTTAAAAGAATTCCTTATTATCCTCATTTTATAAATAGCTAGAGCTTTAGAATATATATGGAGATTATAGGTTTACCATACAAATGGTATGACTACATTGTTATCAGGGCATAAATACTTGACTTGCAGAAAAATAGGGTAGTGAAATAAATTAATAAGTATTATTGAGTTAGCAACTAAATCTATACTTATTTATAGCTGTTTAAAAAGATGACAAAAACATCCTGGTTAAATTGTATACATTAATCTCTTGTCTATACTTTATTCCTCTGTTATTCTAGAGTAATTATTTATCTAGGCATACCCTGTGATTCAGACTACATGTATCAACACATTGCTTTTTTTTCCATAGTCTGCTTTGGTATGAAACGTTCTAGTTGTTAAAATAGACTGCCCATTGCAGGTGTTGAAGGTGGTGTCTTTTTAATCCAGAAAGGACAGCTCTTAACAGAAGGACTGCAAGCTGAATATTCCTTTACCAGGAACAATATGAACAGCTATACCTCTTGGTTGAATTGTCTCCCCTTCAATTTCCCAATATTTTTTTCCAGCCTTTATAGTGCCAGCACAACTGAAACTGTTTTTGGGAATTGATCCAGCTCAAAAAAAGAAAAAAAAAAAAAAAAAAAAAGTCTGCAAGCCATAGATATTTAACCCAGATCAATTTCCCAATTCAGTCAGAGCACAGCTGTAGAAAGCAGTTCTGCTAGAATAATTGAAAATGGCAGTATACAGCGTGTGAACAAGTAGGTGGTGTGCAGGGATAGCGTACGGTTGTAGCTGTTGGTGAAAATTCTGTAATGAAATTACAGCCTTAGCACTATTTTATTTGGGGCTGCTTTACCTAATAAAGGCAAGCTCAGAGGGAGAGGGAGAAGCGTTTTGATCATTAGTTTATACAGATGAGGAATAATACAGGCAAGCCACTGGCTCTGCTTAACTGCCTGGTTTTTAAGGATCATTTCACAATCCTGTGAAATGAGCATCAGAGCATCAGAGTGCAGTCACACACTATGCTGTCTTCAGAAGCAAAGCTGAACAAATGAAGGGGCAGTGAGTTGTAGCATGGGAATGAAAATAAACAGGCTCAGGGAAAGTTGTCAAGCAAAAAAATACTCCCAAACATATTTAAAATGCAGTTATACTAAGAAAAAGTTCTATGCTGCTAAAATGTACTTTCAGCAATTCTGATTCCATGAATAATCAGAGACAGCTTCACTTACTTTACTAGGAGAGCTATGATTTTACTACTTGCAGCTCTGTGAAGCAGGACTGGATATTTTATTTTTCTGTCTCAAAATCCACAAGAGAATTAATATTTAAGGACATTCTCCTCAACAGAATTGATATTTGAGGACATTTTGCACTACAGTCATGGTATCGGTCACACTATACTGCAGACAAGTCTAAGCCAGATCGAGTATCAGTAGAGGTCTAGCTATGGAAGCACAAAGTAAAGGTTGCTATGAAAGAAGCAGAAGAAATTATCATACTTCAGAATAAGCATTCTTAAGCAAACTTAACTTTCACTATGCAGCAAAACCTCATATATTGCAAAATGTGCTTTTAGTGACACCTGTTTAACCCCAAGAGAGGCAAAAAAAAAAAAAAAAAGCATAAAAGAAAATAATTTCAGGACTCTCAGTTCCAAAAGCTCAGGGCAATATTTGGCCTATTAGGTCTTTATTGTCCATAGCAATACAATAGCCATAACTTGTTTTTGTATGTTCCAAGCAGATTCTGCTGGACTGGTCATAAGAAATTCCATTGCTTTTCTCTCCACAACTTCTTATTTCATGTAAAATGAGTGAAGCTGATTTGGAAGTCATTGGCTAGAATCCCAAACTGCTATTTTTATAAAGTCCTTCTTCAGAGTAAAACCATGCTTTAATCAATATGCCAATACTCCTTTTTACAGTATGATTCTATCTCCACTTTGCAGTTCCCATATACAGAAAGCTCTATTAGAACTCTTGCAGGAAGTGTAAAGCAATAAAAATTTGAACTGTTAAATAAGATGTGATTGTGAAATGTTAATTGCAGTCATAATTCCCCACACTTTGCTACTTTTACCACACAAGTAGATTGAAAGACAGAAATGACAACTTGTCAGCATCTTCAGACCAAAAATAAGCCTTTTTTGTTTGGTTGGTTGGTTCTTTTTTTGCTATCTTACATATTCAATTTCTGAGTATCACCATTCAGCTCTTCAGAAAGTTTGAAAACTGAAAACAAACAAACAAAATTTTCTGGACAGTGTCTCAGAGCCTACTAAAAGGTTCCTTTAGTGGCTTTCAGAGTTAATTTTGGCTTTGTTAGCAGTATTCAAACCATATGTATATGAAATCATCCTCACACTAATTTCATGTGATGAAGGAAAAAAAAGAAAGAGGGGAGTGGCCTGTCTCTCAGCAGATGGTTGCTATTGTGAAAGTTATATATAGAACAACTGATTAGCTGCAGTTACTTACAAAGAAATAATTTTTTCCAGGAATTCTGTGACATCATAAACCACAGAAGCAGACTTCAGATGCTTTGTGATATCACATGAACATTACAAAGGAATTAATGCCGGGTCATCTGTTGCTGCCCATTTGTGGCACGGTAAAAGAGGAATTCAATAACATTTCTTTCAAGATCGTGATTTGGTAAAGCATCAGTGTTTTGTTTGATCTTGGAAAATATGTACAAGAGATATTTCAAGCCATACAACCCAGTCTCCTTTTTCTCCAGGATCAGGATATACCTGTGTTTGCTGAAATTAAATAAACTGTACAGAAGCTTTGTGACTTAAACCATTACATCTATTCATACAACAGTTGCAAGAAGGTGGTTTCTACTAAAATGAGAACCTGCAGGACAGCCACATTGCAAGAAGCACCTGAGTCCCATGTTTCTGTCAAGGAATACAAGGTCATGAAAGGTCCAAAAACGTGCTGGAGCCTAAGTTATTAATCTTAATCTAATTGTTAATCTATCTTAAATCAACAAAACACTGCAGGAGTTCCTCCCTATACAAGAATTTATGTATTTCCCAAATCCTTTATTTGTTGCAGCTGCTATTATAAACATTGTTTTCACTAAGAATAGCCACAAATAGGATGCTACTGGTTTAGAGTTCTTAATAATTGAGGACCTAAGAAGGAAAAAGTTTCTTAAATAGGAGAAAAACATATGAAAAGTTGTTTGAAAATCACCACTAGACTAACAGAAGCTGCTACTATCTGGAAGAATAATGTGTTGATTATGACTGCCAAATATACTCAGACAGCGAAAATACAGAAAAGCATTCAGGACAGCTGGGTAAAAAAGATTTCACAGGTGATAAATGCAGCCATTCAGCCCATATTGCAAACCACCTCTACTTGGCAGTTTATACAGTTCTAGTGGAATCTTTTCTTCTTTGAATCAAAATATTTAGACATCAGAAGAACATGATTTTCCTGTATGAGTGAATTAGTGATTAGGCAAGGCATAAATGAAGAAAGGCTGATTCTGAATGCTCCCATTTTTTTTTGAGAGAATGGCTCAGTGAAAAGGTACAAAATTTTGTTTTAAGGAGGGTTTCTTTTTCCTCTTAAGTTTTTTTCACTTTTGAACTTTTTGAAGAAGGGCAAGGGAAAAGCATCCAAGGCTGATAGCATCCAAGGCTGATATCAAATTGATTTTCTCCAATCTCAAGTTACAATCAGATGGATACTTGTAGGAAGAAGTTCTGACAGCTTCAGTCATTTCACAGTTCAGATAGTAAGAAAAGAACCAATGTCCTACAAGAATGATAATAAAGCAATATAACACAATTTGTTTCTCTGGTTGAAACTCATCCTTAGAATATTCTGGAGTTTTCACATTGTGGGTTTATAGCACAGATCATCGTTGCGGGGGGGAACGTTGTCACCAAGGATG